TGAGTTATTCCTTCCGCTGGGATTATGAAGTTGAAGGTGGAGAAAGGTGAATTATGGAGGGAGTTTATAAGCCAAGTTTAAGAGTCTGGATTTCACTTATGAGAGTCACGGACATGTTTTAAATTGAGGCTCAAGGGCTTAGGAAACTGGGCCTCCTTAGCACCTTCAGGCGCACTGGGTTCGCCCAAGGGCTGGCTTTTGGTTAAAGGCAGAGGGAACATCAAGATTTGTCTGGGTTTTATCCATTCAGTATCCGTGGTCCCATTTTCCCTTCATAACCATCTGGATATGGTCTCGGTGGGATGGTCAGTCAAGGTGGTCCCCCTTCTCCGGCCAGGAATGAGATGTGTCCAGGCTACACTCTCCAGAATTTGAATCTAGGGCTTGGACAAAAGGACTGAACAGAATTGTTTTCATTCACACCCAGAATTGCCCCCTAAAGAGATTTTTCATTCACATGTCAGAGCTGTTCTGGTTTCTGCTTTTCCTTGTCTTCTGCAATTCATTGGATTAATGAGCTTCCTGTAATGAATGAATGAATGGTTTAAGTAATTAAGTAACCGCACACACTTTATATTTATATTTATAATGTAAGTTCACCAGAATCATTTTCTTTTGCTTGCTACCAAAGAACCCTAGCTAATATACCAATGCTGATGGTTTTGTTGGATTTGAGAAATAGAAAGCCAGCTTAAGCAAAAACCAAAACCAAACAAACTGAAAAGAGAGAGAGAGGGAGGGAGGGAGGGAGAGAGGGAGAGAATGCATTGGAAAGATAGTGGAGTATCTTAGAAAATGGAAAGATGAGTTGTTTGGGAAGGTTGGGACCCTAAGTAGGTCTGGAGGGGTCAGCAGAAGGGCAAATACTGCCCTCGAGTATCTGCTTTTTTTCTCAGCCTTGTCTCCTCATGGTGGCAAGATGGCTGCCTTATCTTAAACATTATGATGACATCCCAAGGCCTCTTTAGAGAGTTGCCATTGGTGAAACTCAAATGTGGTGACTCCCAGGCTCCGTGTCTGTTCCAAGTTTCAAATTCTCAAAATAGAAAAATCTGACTTCCCGCTTTTGGATAGGTGTCCATTCCAGTGGGGTAAGGTCTCAGGATACACACAGGACACGTCAGTGTGGAGGTACCTCTGTGTTCTGGGATAGCTCCTGTGAACTGGGTGGCTGTCCTGGAGATGAGTTTGACCTTGTCCTTTGACAGACAGCAGAGACCTTGGCATGGAAAACAAGGATGTAGGTGGGACTGTGAACTGGGAATCCAGTTTGCCAAGGCTGGGTTCTCAAAGTGTGCCCTTTGAGCTGGTTCCACCATCGCCTAAGGAGAGCTGTGGGCTTCCCTAGAATCACGAGGGCCCCTGCCTTGGAACCTGTACAGGTGCCCAGGACTGAGGCTGGTAGAGGCTGACCTTGTGTCAGGTGATTGATTTCCTCACGCCCACCACTGTGGCGTGTGTGTGTGTGTGTGTGTGCATTTAATAGCTTGTTTCTTTAAAAATTACAGAAAAAACTTTTTTGGAGGGAGGTAATTCGGTCTATTGAATTAATTATTTTTTTAATAGAGGTACTAGGAGTTGAACCCAGGACCTCATGCATGCTGAGCATGCACTCTACCACTGAGCTAGACCCTCCCGCTGTGCTCTGTATTTTGCATCAGCATCCTTCATACTGGGGTTCTGAGAAATAACAGAGCACCTAGTTAACAAGGCAGTATTTCTTCACTTTCTGAGATGGAATGTAGGCAACTGAGGACAGCTTTACAAGGGGAAGATTTTATTGGGGAGAGAAGGGTATAGTCAAGGGAGCAAGCTCACTGACCTCAAGTTGGCAGGTGTAAGAAAATCATGAGAATGCTTGTTTCTGAGCTCACGTGAGGTATTCACTGTGGCCCCAACATATCTGGGGAGACTGTGAGGGGCATTGGCGTCCTATCTCAGCAGTTGGAGACTTTGAGCCACTGATACTCTGGTGCAAATGTTCTTGTGACCTTAATAGTATTCACGAGGCTAATGAGGTCTGGGAACTTTGGGTCAACAGCACAAAGAGGTAGGTGGCATTACACATAGATCACAAATGCAGAGATGGGAGGTTAGGGAACTGAAGTTGCCTTCTCAAGACTCCACAATTAATGAGCAAGAGAGCATATATCCAGTCCCACACTACTTGGAGACCAAAGCCTGTTAACTGGAACGCTTTGACTTCAAATAAAACACCCAACCAAAAACAGCTGAAATAAAAAGATGATTTTTTTTAATGGACGTTGGAGGGAGATGGTTCCAGAATAGATTTCCTCAGAGCCCAACATCACCAGGCTACTTGGTTCTTTCCATCTTTCTTCTCTGCTGTCCCTAGAGAAGTGGTTCTCAAAATATTGAGTACCTACCCCGAGGTCCCTGAGACCCTTTCAATTCCTCGAGGTCATAGTGATTTTCATAATAATATGAAGGTATTATTTGCCTTTCCCCACTCTGATTATCTCGCAGGGGTACAATGGAATCTTCCAGAGGCTGCATGATGTGTGTTGACATCATCTATCTGATGGCCAAAGGAATGTGTGCTTGTACAGTCATGTGTTTTGAAAGTTTCTAGGCTTTAATTTCTAATATAGTAAATCTTGATAGATGTAACTCGCACAGGCAAAACCTCTTCAGGGTCTTCAATAATATTTAAGAATATAAGAAATTCTTGAAACCAACAAGTTTGAGAACCACTGTCCTCAAGTATTTGTTTTTACCGATAGCCCTGTTTCCTCATGGTTGCAAAATGGCTGACACATCTTGAACATCAGAACAATGTCCAAAGGACTTTACACTTAGCCTGATTTCAACAAAGAGAACTTTCCCAGAAGTCCCTCATCAGATATTCCGTCATGTTTCATTAGCCAGAATTATATCACACATCCATTCCTTAACCAATCATTGGCAATAGAGATGACTAATCAGGCTAAATCCTGCCTCCCTGGAAGGCCAGGCCTTCCTAATGCCTGAACAGAATTCAGTTTTATTTAGCAAGGAAGAAGGGGCATATATATAACTTAAGATGTAGATTCAGCTGCTATACCAGAGACCTAAAACAATAACGGTTTAATGAAGATAGAAGTTTCTCTAGTCATAACTTCCCAGGGCTAGTGTGAGAGATTTATGGTGCCAGGGACTTGGGCTCCTTCTGTATGGTTGTTTTCTTACCTCTAGACCATTGCCCTCAACTGTATGGTCCAAGAAGCTACCCCACCATATCTGTATCCCAGTAGAATGGGAGTAAGGGGAGGGCTCGCCCCTTCCCTTTAAGAAGGCAACCTGGAAGCCATTCTTGTCCCTGTCTTACTGGCCAGAACTTGGTCGCATGGTTGTGTGTAGCTGCAAGGGAATCTGGGAAATGTAGTCTCCAGCTGGGTGGCCTTGTTCCACAGAAGAAGGAGAGAATCAGATTAGCTAGCACCAGCTGTTATTCCCTTTTGCCTCCCAAGAAGGACGTGCCCTCCTAATACTGAACCAAATCAGTTTGGTTAAGGAGGAAGAAGGGAGGATGGCTGTTCAGTGTTTAATTCCCGCTCCCTGCTGTAACTCGCTGTATTCTTAGTGGTCATTGTTAGTTATTACTGTGAATCATGTGCTATTATCTGACATCGGTCAAAGTCTGTGAAGCAGTCTCTGCTGCTGTGATAAACAGCCCTCTTAGCCGTCTCACAAGAAATTCACTTGGGATCTGGTTTCAAATCCTGGATTCTCCATTTACTGGCTGGGTGACCTGGGCTGGACCATTTGACCACTCTGAGAATCAATGTCTTCTTCTATAATGTGGTCCACCTAATATCTACCAGTGTTGTTGTGAGGATAAGTTATGATTCTGGGAATAATAAACCTTACCTGGGCCCAGAACATAGTAAATGTCTAATGATAGGGAGACAAGTAACTAATCCACAACAACAAAGCTGTGCAATCATTGGGTTCTGAACAAGGTGTGCCACACCTGCTGGCTGCTATGCTCCCTCCTCCTTCCCAACCCCACCCAGCCTACAGTAATATTGCCTCTTTGTCTCAGCTAGCTATTGCTGCATAACAAATCACCCTAAAATGTAGTGGCTTGAAACAGTGACTACTTTTGTTTTGCTCATGAATTGGTAATCTGGATAGGGTTTGGTAGGGACAGCTTCTCTCTGTTCCACTTGGCATCCACTGGGATGACTTGAAACAGAGAATGGGACTGGAATCATCTGAAAGGTCATGTGTGTGGCAGTTGGACTGGAAAGAGTGAAACACCTAGGGAGTGGAACAGCTAGGGCTCCTCCAGCATCTCTTTTGATCTCTCTCTGATCTCTCCACTTGGTCCTTCCAGCATGGCAGCTTTAAGGGTACTCAGTCTTTTTGCATGGTGGCTTATAGCTCCAGTGTCTCACACTCTAAGGCAGAGACAGTCAGATGGAAGCCACAGTGCTTTTTATGACCTAACCTCAGAAGTCACACCCCATGACTTCTGCTTCACACTGTTTTCTTTTTCTTTTTTTCAGAAGCAAGCCACTAGGGTATTGCACTCTCTTTCCTTGTCTACAAGACCAAGACCAACTCATGACCACCACATTTGCATTTCAGTCCATAGGACATAAAGGGCAAGCCTTAAACTGCTTTTGAAGGACTGACCTGGAAGTAACTTATTTACATTCCTATCCCATTGGCTCAACCAGGTCACAAGGTGACAGTGAGCTGCAAGGAAGGCTAGGAAATGTAGTCTTTAGTTGAGTAGTCATGTGCCCAGTGTAAACTTGGGGGACACTATTGCTGAAAGGAAAATGTAGAAGGTTAGTAGATAGTCTTTGCCACACTCCTGAAGGAATAAACGAACCTATAGAATAATGGATGGAGTGATGGCTCTACTGATGGCTGGTTGGCTAGTAGGATTAGCAGAACCATAGATAGACCCTGGGTTAATTAACAGCCTGAAAAACGGCAGGTGCCTCCCCTGTCTGACAGCCCCCTCCCTACATTTTCCCCTTCTCCAGTTCAGCAATGTCATCTTCCTCGTCTTTGGGCCTCTTATGATGTTTCTGATGCACCCGTATGCCCAGGTACGCTCCTACTGGGTTTATATCATCTGCATCCTCTTCATGGTCATAGGTAGGTGGGGGTCTGTGACAGTGGGGCAGGTCGGGGGGCAGGAGTGGACAACTCCCTTGACCACCTGCCTTATGTCTCTTGCTTCAGGCCTGTTTTCCATGTATTTCCACATGACGCTCAGCTTCCTGGGCCAGATCCTGGATGAGATCGCTATCCTGTGGCTGCTGGCCGGCAGCTACGGCATATGGTTGCCCCGCTGCTACTTTCCCGCCTTCCTGGGGCAGAGCAGGTGGGTGGGGCCAGAGCCCACCTGTCCTCCAGGTCCCCTCCCCAAGCCTTCTCGTGGTCCTTGGGATCCCTCCCCAGGCCACTCCAGGACTTTCTCCCAACCCTGCCTGACCTAACCAGACTTCTGGGGACCCTTCCTCTGGGGGTACCTGGGATCCCTGGCTATCCTCTCCTTATCCTCCCTGCTTATTTGGAATTCCTCCCCTGATCCCACCTGGAATCTGGGACCTTCTCCAGATCCTGACTGAGCCCATCTTGGGGTCCCAGGATCCCATGCCTAAGGTTACTTGGGGCCCAGAGATCTCTCCTCTGAGCCTATCGCCTGGGCTCCCTGAATCTTTCATCGGATCCTTCTGGACCCCTTTTCTGACTCACCTGAACCCTCCAGGACCCCTCTCCTAATAGCCTCTGGGACCCCTGCAATTCCTTTTTTTTTTTTAACATAAATTGTTATTTTTTAATGGAGATACTGGGAATTGAACCCAGGACTTTGTGCATGCTAAGCATGTGCTTTGCCATTGAGCTATACATGCTAAGGATCAATTCCTTCTTTAATCCCAGCTGGCTCTCCGGAATCCCTTGCCTCAACTCACCTGGGCCCTGGGACCCTCTTCTGACTGGACTAAGCCCCCTTGAGCTTCCCTGAGACCCTTTTACCATCCTACCCACCCCGCTACCCTGGGGCCCCCTTCAGACCCTGATTTGCCCACATGGGTTCCCTGGGAAGTTGTGTTGACCCTCCTGAGTCCCTTGGGATCCTTTCCTAAACTCACCTGGGAGTCTTAAGCCCTTTTACAGAGCCCAGTTTTGCTCCTTGTAGCCCCTTCCCTTTTCTCATCCATCTTTGCCCCAAGATCTCCATGGGACCCTGCCTAAACCCCACAGACACTCCCCTCCACCGCCCCCAACAGCTGAGCCCTTCTCTCCCCAGGCCCCAGTTCGCCTGCCTGGTCTGTATCACCACCATTGTCAGCACCTTCCTGTCCTTCCTGAAGCCCACGATCAACGCATACGCCCTCAACAGCATTGCCGTGCACGTGTTCTACATCATGTTCCAGGAGTACAAGAAGTGGGTGGTGGCTGCAGGTGCCCGGGGAGGTGGCTCCCTTCCCCACTCCAACAACCTCCCTTCACCCACTACTCACCCTGTTCCCAAAATAGTTATTGACTTCAGGCTCATGGGGACAATGTCCTTTCCCCAAGATCATTCACCAACTAAGAGCAGGACCAGGATTTGAACCGAAGGCTGTCTGACTGCAGAGTTTGTCCCTTTGGTTGCAAACCCCCCAAACATACATACAGGTAGAGAGCATTGCATCAGAAACCTCCATGTGTGCCACTAACCAGCCCGCACAACCGTTAGCACTTTGCCAACCTGCATTCTGTATTCCCCCCAGATTTCATGTAGTGTCACCCATTCGTTGTTCAGGATTTCACTCTCCTGATACAGAATTATTTTTTTTCATTTTTATTCTTGTTTGTTATTGAAGTGTAGTCAACTTACAATGTTAGTTTCAAGTATACAGCAAAGTGATTCAGTTATACATACATATATATTTTCAGTTTCTTAAAAGTGGCTCATTACAGGAATGGAATATAGTTCCCTGTGCTGTATGTAGAATTATCTTTAACCCATGCTAGGTCTTAGCAGGCTAGAGAGGGGGCTTTCAAATGAAGCTGTTTGAGGAGAGTTGAATAAAACGGTTATTTACAAAGGAGAGGGAAGACTGTTGTAAACTCACTAGGGATCCTTTAGAAACCCTGTGCTAATAAGGGTGGGTTTCTGTGATCATCAGGAGACCTGAGATGGGAAGCAATGGGAGGGAGTGATTGCACGAATCTGGAAGAAGAGAGCTAGCAGGGGGGGGGTCTCCTTGGCAAGAGCTGTGACCTCTAGTTGTTGGTTCCCTCCAGCCTGGGCCAACCCCACAGGGAGGTTGTGTGGACCAAATCCAGGGGCCCCCTTGTCCTTGGTCTTCTAGTTGTGTTGACCAGTGGTTTCCAGCTGGGTTAGCCAATGGTTGCCAGCTGGCTTGGCCAATGAGGAGCCCCAAGTGGGAACCAAAGGGTGAGGGGAGGGAACTGTTAGAATATATATTTCCAAGTCCACATAGCTCACCCGCCCCCCCCATCCCCTGAGGTGTGAGGCAGAGTGGAGAAAGGTAGGAAAGGATCCAGACGGGCAAGTGGAAGACCTGGCACACACACGTCTTACAAGGTTAATGATCCTTCCCTAGAATAGCGTCTAATACTCAGTTTGCACTGACCTTTCATCAGTTTCCCAAAGACATCTTTTTATACCTGGACTTGTTTAAATCAGAATGCAAACACAGTCTTAGATCATCTTTATTTCACAGCATCCTTCCCTCCTTCCCTTCCCCTTTCTTCATGCCTCTGACTTTTTAAAATTGAAGTATAGTCTGTTGCAATGTGTCAATTTCTAGTGTACAGCATAATGTTTCAGTCACACATATATATACATGTATTCGTTTTCATATTCTTTTTCATTATAGGTTACAAGATATTGAATATAGTTTCCTGTGCTATACAGAAGAAATTTGGGTTTTTTAATCTATTCTATATTGTGGTTAATATTTGCAAATCTCAAACTCCCAATTTATCTCTTTCCACCCTCTTTCCCCCTGGTAACCATAAGTTTGTTTTCTATGTCTATGAGTCTGTTTCTGTTTTGTAAGTCCATGTAGGTCTTTTTTAAATTTTTTAGATTCCACATATAAGTGATATCATATGGAATTTTTCTTTCTCTTTCTGGCTTACTGAATTCACTTAGAGTGACGATCTCCAAGTCCATCCATGTTGCTGCAAATGGCATTATTTTATTCTTTTTATGGCTGAGTAATATTCCATTGTGTATATATATATATATATATATATATATATATATATATATATATATATATATATATTATTATTATTGTTCTCTCTCTCTAGTACGTACGTACGTATCTATTCTTTAGTACGTAAGTACTC